TACACTTAGTACTGTGTGTTTTTAACCATATTTTTGGAGGATAATTGTACTTAATAATTTGCATAAATTAGTGTCAACGTTATTGTTTAAAATGTGTTATCGTGACAGGATGATTATTTAGTTCTGATATTAATATTGGTCTTTTATTGTTTGATAAATGTATGCAAATATTGCTTTGAATTTCAATCTGGGTTACATCGTTAGACCATTGTTTTGTGAATTACTTTCCTCAAAAATGTAATTTGAATGATTTTAACTGATGGAGTGTTAACATTTTGGACTACAATGCATTTGCACTTTTTTTTTTAACCTCTCTGGCCTCTTTTATGAAAGTTATTTCTATTTTAGACAGATGCACATGGCTTTGAAGTTAATACTAAATATATGTTTGTTTTTAAAAAAAGCATTGGCTCAAAATTCCTCTTTGAAAATAGTGTACCAGAATGATTTATAGAAGGTAAAGGCCTGCATAGGACTGTCTGAACATAGTCTGAACAGTTGTAATATATGTATTCAGTGCGTGGTATGTCCTTGTGGCTGCTTATCGACAGACGGCACTATATCAAAGGCTACAAATAAAGCCTGATAATACATTCCATCCCTCCTCAGTCAGATGGTCTGGATCAGAAACAGCATTTGAAGATCATTCGAAGTGAGAAGTCTGAGCCAGGCTATCAATATGGCTGCTGGCGTGCATGTGGAGAGCGCTGCCACGAGAGGCTCAAGCACACAGCCAGACAGAGCACATAGAGAATAGATAATAGCTATTACCACGTCAAGATCTCCTTCAGAGGGCCGGCAACGCTGCACTGAACGTCATGAATCAAAAACAAGTCTTTGAAAAAACAAGCAATTAGCCCCCCGCTAGCATCGCTCCGGACCAGCCGCGAAGCACTAGAGCCTCAAACAGGCTTTATGAGAGATGATAACAAGGATACATCAATACACTCCCACCACTGTTTAGACTGTAATGGGGAGCACATTCATAAATGTTGCAATATTTTAACTACTGCTGTAATAACAAAAGTACAAGATAAACTCTATGGTATTTCTGTTGTGTTTTAAAAGTACGCTAAGGAACTTCTCAGGTGGAGCGTCCGTCACCTGCTTGTTGACTTTACAGAGATGTTATTGCTTTGCCTTGCATGTTGCTCAGTGTTATGGCTTTGGAATTATTTTTCTCCACACAGACACGCAGTTGGACAAGTTACAAGTTAGATCTGTGGAGTGGCTATCCCATTCTGAGTAAGAATGCATGTTTTTCTAAGGATATTTGAGCTACAGGGGATTTTTTGTGACTAAAACTAGACAATAGAATGTTAAAGTTGTTATTGCCTTGATTAGGACTCAGGCTATTTGAGGTCATATGTTCTGTCTTTAATGAGACACAGGCCCTTGTATCTTCCAGTTCACTAATAGCTGGTTCCGTTAGTGACCGTTTGTGGTTGCAGTTAATATAAAATCCATTCAAATATTCCAGAGTTCAGACAGTGTTCTGGATCCACACCAGAAAGTAATCACAAAAACAGACGCTCCCATGGGCTGTTGGATTCAGGGCTGCCAGAGAGAAGGCAAGAGGAAAAAGCGTATTTAGTGCTGGCTAGGTCTGTTTACTGGGATAACAGTACAATTACAACAAACATCAATTGTATGTTAGGGTGAAGTCATTTAAACTGCCAAAATATTGCTAAATATCGATGTTGTGGAATAGACACAAACTATTTCTTGTTTCACCAAAGTGTAAATACTTTTAGGATATTAACTGTATTTTTATTTTACATTTGAAATCCATATATTTGACTTTTTCTCTTTGGCATGCTCTGTTACTTATTTGAATCTACAGACATGTCACTTTGCCAGCAGGTTCCACAGTATGACATTAAACTTTAAACTTAGATCTGTGGAGGGTGCTCCCAATCAGAATGCTTGTTTCCAAGGCATTTTCCATCAATAGAAACATCAGTGATTGAATAAATTTAAGATTGATGAGTTTAATGCTATACTGTGGAGAATTTAAGGTAAAGTAATAGACAGACCCCCCACTAGAAAAGTTACCCTTTGCACCTTTAAGTCATTATTTTGAGTCACTTTTTTGTTCCTTTAACACAATTTCGTACGTTTTTTTTTTTTGCACTGAACAACACTGCAATGAACAAATGATCTCAAACGGGGTAATGTGAGAGTGTTGTAATTCAAAAATAGCCACTTGCACCATGACGCATCGGCCTGTGTTCCTCTGCCGCTGCATCTCACATTGTGTTAGTGGCAGCCCGCAGCCTGTCAGGAGTGATCAGCGCAGCGTGTGCTGGGCGGAGGGTCGTCATGGCGGCGGTGGCGTGACTGCGCTGAGTTCAGGGGCCTCGGGAGTCTCAGCGCTGACACATGTGCTGTGACAGGGAGGCTGCATTAGCCACAATCTGAGGACAGCTTGTTTGGGCTGCGAGGGTTAACAGGCCATGGCTCTGTGTGTAAGGCAATGGTCTACTACCACAGGGGACATGCTCGAGACACAGGGCATCCATAAAAAGTACTTCATTACAGCAAGGGTGGTTTATACAGAGGACAGAGGACCTGAGAGTATGATATGACATCAGATGACGTGTACAGGCTGTATGTGCACAGTTAAGCTTCAATATGACAGGGGGGGTTTAAAAGGGTTTAATGACTGTTTTTCAGTTTATTTGGGCAGCCAAGACTACACACTTTTCCAATTATACTTTAGTGTTAGAGTCAGGGATGAGGTCTTACCTCCTCGAGTTACAAATGGCTAATCCACCTGCCAATCAGGCCAATCAGAGAAATGCAAGTCCTCTAAGTAAAGATAAACACAACAGCTTACCAAAAAAAGGATTTAGAAATTTGATTCAGAAAAGACACAGACTTCTGCCGAATCCAAAGTCAAGCACAAAACGCAGTTAAACTGAGGTAAGAGTTACATACATTTCATAATGAGTAATATGTTTTTTTTTTCAAATGGAAATGTCTAAAGTTCCACCAATGAGATACTAGCTACAAATAAGTCTGTGATTGGAAAAAACTTGACGGAGAAATGATCTGCTGTGGGCCTGGTCCCAGCGTTGTTCCTGACATAACTTTATATGGTTTGGATTGACCGCATCTGCTTCACATCACAATATAAACAATGACAGTGGGGATTATCCAATTAATAAAATGTAACAAATTGTCAAAGAAGTTTAACTTATAGGTTCTGACATTTGTTCTGTGATGTAATTCTACATATTTATTTACACATTTACTTAGTCATTGGTATTGAAAAATAATAATTTTCTTCACACCAAGTAAACACGGTGGACACATCTGCTCAAAGCACCAAAGAGCAGAATTTCACAGTGTTTTTGAGGTGAATCATGAGGCGGTTGTTGTAAAACCATCGTGTCACACCTTCCATGTGTGTCCGCCTGCTTCTCAGGTTGCCCACCTCTGAGCTGAGTCTTTCTTTAGCACAAAAGCGCATTCATGATCGGGAGGTATTGCCACTGCTGAGGGAAAAAGAAGTCTGGGGCTACACCCTGCAGTAACAGTCATACCGCTCAACTTGTCTTGGCCTGAGACCTTTTCACACAAACGCAGCAAAGAAAGAGAACAGACAAAGGCAATGCGACAGAAGCCGGCCTATATTTCAGTAACTGTCAACACCGCTGTCATGGCATTTCGTTCTTTTCCACCTACCTTTTGAGCACTGTTGGTAAATTGCAGATAATTACATGTGTGCGTAGGAACAACACTCTTTAAGTAGTGTCACTTTTATAGCCCGCCGTCTGTTGTCGTGGTTGCCTTTTAAAATGCATTGAATCTGCTTACATCTTCGCCATAAGAGCTGTGTTTTGAAATGCCGCTCCAGATGTGAGAGTGCACCCCCGCTGTGGGAGATGAATGGCTGAGGGGGGCTGCGGGCTACCTACAGGTTCAGATCCCTAATGAGCACAAGAGTGTGTTGGGAGCACGATATGATTGATAGTGGCGCGACCGAGGGAGGGAAATAGAGGAAAATGCAGCAAGTGCTTTTGATAAAGAGCAGGGCGAGGGAGTGGGGGGCTGGCAGGAGGTAAAGAAACGAAATCTGGCATCGGACGTCCAAGATTAGGTGCCAAGAACTGGTCCACAAAGCAGAGCCAGAGAGAGAAAGAGAGAGCACTTCTTGTCAGTTTAATGCTTGCCTGATGTTCCTCCCTGTTGCATACTCCACATTACACACTTCTCCCTCTAAGGAAAATAAATAGCAAAGGTGGAATTCTTGGCAAGTGACTCCGGATGTTGTTGGCAGTTAGCGGCGTTACCAGCCGCTCTGAGCTTTAGGACTGTGTCTCTTACCAGATAAATAAAGAATTCAGAGTGCTGGTTGGGTGTCCATGTACAGCTTGGCAGTGTTTTTCACAAAATATCCTCTCTGGAAGCTGAAAGAGTAAGCGGTCCACTCAGAGCCGAGCAGATACAGTGACACTAAGTCGAAGAAACCACAAAAAATGACATCAAGGAGAAGGAATTACAACTGCAGCGTAGGAAAGCGGCTAAATCTTATTGCTTTCAGAAGGCAGTGGTAATTTGCAGCCGAGAGCCATTCCTCCAGAATAATGAAGAGAGGCTGGACAGATGCCAAGAGGGTGGCTGGTTATGTCAGCCTGCATAATGTGTTAGAACAAGGTCTCTGTCATGTCACTGTAGTGGGCTATTGACTGTGCTCAAGTCCAATAATCCCTGTATTACGAGCTATCAATCCACCACAAGATATAATTACTTCCTTATACAGAGTTATTCCACATATGGAGACGTTTTTCAGTAGGCTAATCCAAGCTATGAAGGTTAAAGTTTATATTAGTGCAAACAAAGCCTACCATATGTTTAGCCTACTTGGTCAGGTCAGCCATTTCCAAAAGCGTTTAGCCAAATAGAAGCACTATGTCAGAAAATGTAAATAACTGACACTGATTTGAACTTTTTTAGAGAATTTAGAGTAGTTTTGTGCTCATCGTGGCTCTTACCTGACTTGGATTGTCTTGACCTCGTCCTCGGCTCCACTCTCGCCTTCTGAAATCCAAGTGCACTGTTTAGGGGAAAAAAAGGGAAAAGAAAAAAAAAAAAAAACTCCTAAATAAACAGTGAGTCCTCCGCTGGTTTCCCTCCGGTCTAAAATTAGTCAAGTCACAGATCGACGAAGCGCTACGGTGCTTTAAACACTACTTATGTAATTACTGGTTAAATCGCTAATTGTCTAATGATTGAGCGCGAGCGGCTCCCTCCTCTTCGTAACCGCGCGAAACACTGAAACATCCCGCGCGCTTTGCTTTGACTCTGGGAGGGAGAAGAGATAAAGAAAGAAAGAAGTGCAGCTTTTGTTTATCTTGTCCCCAGCGGTCGGGAGGAGAGGCGGGCGAGCTGCCGGTGTGCGCGGTAGTCCATTCGCGGGGGTTTGTCGTGTGCGTACGGGGGCTGGGAGCTGCTCGCGGTGTCGTGGCGGGGTTGACAGATGAAATGAATGTGCGGCGATGAAAACAACAGCAGCGGCGCAGCTCCATCCTCCAACTACTGCCGCGGCGTTCAGGGCGGCTCGGGAATTCGCTTCACCCCCGAGTCTGTGCAACTTCTCGTATGCTATTTCAAAGCAAAACGCAACGAGATTTCAGTTTTCTGTCATGAAACGCTGCTTTAACTGCTTAACATTGCAACATCAGTGAATAAAATATAAAAAAAATCTTTAAAACTAACTTGACCCGAATTTAAAAATAAAAAAAACTGGGAGATCTAAATTTTTCGGTTCTTTGTAATAATAAATTGTCAAACGAGTGCTGAATTAAGATTTTAAAAAAGACCACTCGTGATTAACGTGTGAGTAAGTATAATCACATTTTTTGTTTTCATTATCATTATTAAGCACCTTTTCTGTAGTTTTTGTTTAAACAAAATACAATGTATGCCTCTCTTTAATGTTCCAAGTGCTTTACATTGCAACATCAGTGAATGCAAATATATATATATTAAAAAAAAATCTTTAAAACTAAGGTGACCAGAATTTAAAAATAAAAAAAACTGGGACATTCCCGGTTTTTTGGTGCTTGGTCAAAAATTGTCAAACGAGTGTGTAATTAAAGAAACTTGTTACTCATTATAGTCACATTTTCTTTGTGTTTTGGTCATTTTTAAGCAGTTTGTCTGTATTTTATCGAAACAAATTACAATGTATGCCTTTCTTTAATGTTGGCAGGTCAAAAATAGGGACACCTGGGACATTTCTTGTATAAAACTGGGACAAACATAAATGGTTTTGGATGAATCTGCTGGGACAGGGGATACACTAGGGCTCAAAACTGGGACTGTCCCGGGTAAATGGGGACGTCCTTTTCTATATCTGAATTGAATTACTTACCCATAATGAAAATTAACTAGACTGTAACTGTAAAAAAAAAATAATAATAATAATAATTAACCACAGTTGTGATTTAGCCTACAATGTATGCTATAAGGTAATTAGTTCATCCAAAATTATTATTATTATTATTATTATTATTATTATTATTATTATTATTATTATTATTATCTGTAAATTGCTTGTTATTACCACTTGAAACTAAAATCCGTGTCATCAGCATGCTCTGAACTAAAATGTCCCACTGCCCTTGGACGCATCCTCTTATTTCCACACTTATTTTAGACCAGTTGTGTGTTGGAGATCGGGCTCTGCAGGGATGTGACCGACAAAAGAGGGGAGGGAGGGAGCGAGCCCCGATCATCTGTTCTGCATTTCCCCTTTGATTCAGCAGCAGCCACTGAATCTTATTTTCCAGCTCCACTCCCCCCTAAGCGTTTTGTCCTGTGCTCAACAAAGGAATGTGCTGCACAATATCTGTCTGATTGTAAACGCCTGCTCCAAGCTTCTCTTTGTCCATCCTTAGACATAGGTTATAGAAGGCGACCTAATTACTGTATATATCTGTAAGTCACTCTATGCTGAGCAAATCCATAGGCAAATTACATCTTGCATTATTTACCCGTTTACAACACACAACATACCTTTGCAGTGCATGGCTACACATCACCAGATGGTAGAATAACAGCCAATGACATGCACTGCCAATTGTCACTTCAGGGAATCGGTGCTTCCAGCCACTCTTGGCATCCCTCCTATACAATTACTCAGTTACACATCCAGCTTTGGAACACTTGAAGTAAATACAATACTTGCTCCACCTGTTGGTTGTGATTTGGAAATGCAACGTTGAGCATTCTCATGTGATTTCTAAGTCTGTTTTGGACAAGAGGGCAAGATTAATCTAATAAAATACATAATAGATTTCTATAGGATAACTGTTGCTTTAAATCATCATATTTTAGTAGCATTTTGGATCACTCTTCCGTTTAAAATACTACCGTTCAGAGGTGAAACCAAGTTGTCGTTTTGTAAGTCTCAAGTAAGTCTCAAGTCTTTGACCTCAAGTTCGAGTCAAATCCCAAGTCAAATACAGGCAAGTCCAAATCAAGTCCAAGTCGTCTGCTTTGAGCTTCAAGTCATTTCAAGTCTTTAAACCAAAGTACCAAATACAGCTTAGATTTTTGCAATTTATGACTTTTAAGATAAATTGTACTTAAAAAGTCATAGTATATTTATATGTGAGTATTTATAAAGTTTATAAGAGTTGTAGAATTGTAAATTGTAAAAAGTCCCAAATCACTGACCTTCAAGTTCAAGTCTTAGTCCATTTTATCAAGTCAAGTCTCAAGTCCTAAAAATAGTGACTCAAGCCTGACTTGAGTCCAAGTCACGACTTGCAAGTCCCACCTCTGCCACCGCTACCCCAGGCTGGATTGCACAAACAGCTGAAATACTCCTAATTGTATGTGAGAAACTAATAATGAGGCAAAACTTGATTTGATTTGATCTTTTATAAGCAATATCATCACATATAAATTCTTTTCATCATAAAGACTTTACAAATAAATCTTGTTACAGAGGAAAAGTAGCCTAGATTACAGTACATTAAGACACTTGACACAAGTTTTCTGAGTGAAAAACAGTAAGGCACCAATGCCACCAGCGGCATAGGTAGTAAACAAACTAAGAAAAGAGTAATAACACAGAAAAAGTTGTCTACAGTTGTAATTTTGGAGAACAAATTGGTGTATATGAAGAAAAAAAAAATCAAGATTTGTCAAAAATAGAATCACTTCGGTGTGATTTAGTTTCTAATTTTCCAATTTACACACACGTTTTAACAGTACCAGGTAATTGCAATGTACGTGGCAGTTTTAACATATCAGTCACACCTTGGGTACTTGGTGTACTGTGAGTTTATGTTGATAATTAATGCATGAATTTTTTTTGTATAATTTTCACCTTTACACCAGCCTGGAAATGTTTCTGTGGTGTGACTGTCATAACTACAGAGATTTTATAGTAACAATGATAGACAATTTATTCAGCTGGTCCTATTATCAGATAAAGGGTGTCATGCTCCCCTCTGCTTTGAATGTGCTGTGACTATTCTTTCATATAAACTTTTCAGCTGTTGTGCTTACTGTATCTCAGCAACATTCAAACAATTAATTTACCAATTCTGTTGTATTGCTTCTAGGATGGGTTACCAATCTCTGTTACAAAAATAGATATGAAACATTTATATATAAAGTATGTAGCAGACAATCAAAAGTGGCTTATCTAAATACCAAATGGCATGAAAAAGACTATAGCTATAAAAGAGCTTGTGATCTTGTATGCACACATACTCAGTAAACACATCACTGGTTTAGATTCTACAGGCACAGTCAATAGAAAATGAAAATTAAAGTGTGTAAGTGAGTGAGCTATGTAGAAATGCCTGTAACATTCTGTACTTTGTTGTGAATAGAATTGTCCCATTCCTGTCTATGTGTGTGTCTGGTACATAAAATCTCTGTGTATGTCAACTTTGGATCTATAATCTGTTGTACAAAAGCAAGTAGTGCAAAGAGTAACTACAGTGGATGACAGAAAGGTTGAAATGTTTTGTAGAAAGCTGAACGTATGGTAGGTACGGTCTTTAGAATGGTGGATAGATATCTAACACCAAACAACCACCACATAAACTACTTACTCACATTGTCTATTTAAAACATCTTTGTCCAAACTGAGCCACAGCGTAGGCCACATTCAGTGATCTGTAACAGTATGTGGAAAATAACAATCAAGTAATACATTACATCATCATATAAATGATGAAAAAATAAACTTTGGCAACATAATATGTGGCAAAAAAACAAACAAATTAAAAACACTCCTCTCCAGTTTAAACTAGAGTTTTATTTGAATATTCACAGGTAAATGTTTTGATTGTCTAATTTCACCCAAAACTACCCTGAACATTTCATTATCATATTGTAATATAGAAGTTCAACATTTGTTTTTTTAGTCCGATTGGCCAAACTGAATATTTAAACATTGTCAATTAAATAAAAAATATATGACAACATGATACTGTCTGCATGACATGTACTAACAAGGTGATCAGCTTCACCTCTATAACCCAAAGGTGTTTTAGATGGAGCTGAGCCAATAAACAAAGTGCCTGTATGATAAGATCATGTAGAATGTGTGAGAATGCCACGAGACAGTGTTTGTGCTCCTCTTCACAGATGTGCTGACCCTGGTTTTCCCTGTCCCCTGTCTCCTGGCTACAGCCAGCTGCTCCTTATGCCCCTGTAGGGCAGAGGGCTGTGCAGTTACACCTGACCTGTCACTGTTAGGACTCCAGCAGACTGTGCCAGCGGCAGACCTGCTGTCCTTTAGACTCTTTCATCTCAGTCCAGTGGGAGAGCTCTTCCTCTCCGGAGCTGTTGAGGCCCAGAGAGATCCAGCCAATCATCTCCTTGCGCTTCATGCTGCGCTTATTGTAGACCGACAGGATGAGTGTCACGTCTGAGAGCTGGAACAGAGCCACCTGAAAGATGAAGGTCTCTTTGTACGTGGGATTGGGCTGCCCTCTGCAGATGGACGTCTTACATTTGGACATCTCATGGCCCATGGAGTTGAGCAGGGTCAGCTTCACATATGTGTCTAAACAGAGACAGGACTCAGTCACAGGTCCAGATCAGACAAACATTTTAGCACAACTCCTAAATCTACATATCTGTGGGTCACTTGTGCAAAATCCTTAAGCTGGAGTGTATTGTTAACCTGCTGTCAGAGTCCAGACAAAGCCCCTGTTCCATAGTGATGCTGCTGCTGCTGCTGCAGGTAACATTAGGAGCACATAGGACATGTTTTCTCCTGATCAAACACAAAGCGCTGCACTCAGTGCAGCTGATAACAGAGCACAACTCAAAGGGCGAAAAGAGTGTTTCCTTAGTCCTGTTGCTATGCAACTATGCTGAACCTGAAGTGGATGATTACTTTGAAGATAAAAATGGACCAAAAGTTGGTAATACATTTTCCTCTTCTTAGAGGATGTGGAGCTCCTTCTAAACAGACTCTAAAATGAATGCCTCCATCAGAAAACCCCTGCAGGAGATGCTATTTTTTATTTGACTTTGGCACAGTGTCAGTGTCATGACAGAAAATGTGCTCAGACTTCCACAGCCCGGGGCAGTGTCCTGGAAAAGGGCTCGCTCCTAAACATTACTCATGTTTGGCAGAGGAGGCACACACCAGCGGATGCACTGTAAATGACATTGTTCTAACACCAGCTGAATGACTAGGTCTAAATACTGCTGATTATAATAATAGTAACTGCCTGGAAATGTGATTTTCATAATGAAACAGAAGCACTTTCCATCAATCCAGAAATAAAATGTGACGTAGAGCAGTTAGTTTTCATTCTCTCTGTAAAAATGTCATTCATCAAACAGTTCAGAGTGAAAGAAAACCTCGTACGACTGCCATTATCATGTAATTTAGCATTCACACTTTTTGTATTCACTGCACATTTCCACACAGGAATCACAAAACGAAGCCACAAATCCAGCTGAAAGTAAACGAGGCAAGACTGGCAGCCACAATGGGTCTTTGAGAGTGTTTCGCCCTCGTCTACAACCACACTCCACAATAACGCTGCGTATTATGTTCCTGTCTGAGAGGAGGGGACCCAATGAATTGCAGGGGCTTTCATGCCGTCGAGTGCCAGCTGCCTTCCAACGCCTCGCCCGCCGCCTTGAATCACACATTCAGTTGCTCTCTTTGACATAAAAGCACAGTGGAAAAAATAGCCTTGATTTCTTTTTTGACTGGCACTGAATGGGCTGTGTGGAGCTGTGGATGTCTTAAGTGGTCAGTAGCGGCGATGCATGGCTCTCCGCTATTGTTCCTGAATGAGAGGGGCTGTGACTGATGATTAACTTGACTGGAGGGATCGGCACTGTTTTGAAATGATGGAAAAGCGCCTTTGAAATTGCACTGCCGCATTCAGCACACTTCTTCCTCTTTGTGCCACGCGGAGTCAATCAAGGCCTCCATAAGGATTTTGCACAACAGTTTATTTAGTATTAACAGATGTTCAACAGAGATTTTCAAAATGGAGTTTGTGCTTTATATAGAAAGGCAGATCGATTAAGACATTGTGGAAATTTAGCAACAGACGGACCCGCATACATGGAACAGATCTGTCAATGAGGGGGGCAGAGCAGTGGATAGTTACTGTAACAGTGTCTTTATTAAGAAGCGCACTAGACACATGCTAAAGTGTGTGGACTAAATGAAACAGCCAGTGATCCACAACAGTCTCTCTGAGCTGGTCATTAGCCTCACAGCAAAGCAGACTGAAAATAGCTGGTTCTACTGGGAATATGTAGGTCTGGTGTGCTGGAGTTACTGGCACTAACACAGAGCAAGATGCAAGCAGGGGGGCGAGGATACATGCAAAAGTACACACACTTCATGGATGCAGTCTTGACATTATAGTGGGATATTTTAAATTAGAAGAACTGAATTGTGGTTTGTTTATATAAAATTTTCAGTCCAGCCTTTTTACAAGAATATGAGTTATACACACTGCGTTGTAATGTACAGCATAGGATTATTAGTCCAAAGAGTTTAATTTGGTCTTCCAATATTTTATGTTATTAGTTTCTTTTTTCAGACCAAGAGTTTGTTTTCACACCTGACAGTATTGACTGCTTACTAGCACTCTTCCTCAGAGTGATCACGTGATGTTGCTGTGACGTGTCCGGTCAACTGATTTAAACAGGTTTTGGCACTGTCTTCCTACTGGTGGAGGTAGGATGACAGCGTCATTTGCAGTCCAACTTTCTCAGGACAGTATCCCAGGTGTGTGAGAGTAAAAAAGCCCCCCTCGTCCCGGTTTATCGTCCTGTGGGCACATTTCCGTAACCTGTATAAATCAGCTTCTTCTTGGTCTGAAAAAAGTACCTAATAACATAGCATAGGATTTTTGTTTTCAGTAATAGCTGCAATTGTATGGTTTTGGTAGGTTCATGTGAGTGAGAGCAAATCACAGATGAAAATTTTAAAATGTAAATTTATTAGTCTGTCAGGTAGATGGTAGAAAACTGTTGCAATCAGAAATCGCAATCAAACATCTTACACTTGATTTGATCATTTGCAATCATAGGATGACGATAAGTTTTTATTGATTTTGTGTTAATCCTCTACATCCATGAAGGTAAAAGTCAAACTTTTCAAGAGAACTGACAGTTAATACTTACCTCTGATTATATAAACCTGTCCCCCTATCAAGTGTTTTAGACAACAGAACAGCCCATCTGACAACAAGGGTTGGACAGCAGTAAGAAAAACAACGGACCAAGATGTCAAAAGGGAGGTAGGAGGTAAGAGAATTGCAAACACAATTCAAGAGGTGAGGGGTTAAATGAGCAGAGGTCAAACACAGGTCACACAGTTTAACAGAGGCAGAAGTGGGATGTGCTCTGATCCCTGGAAAAGGCTCAGGAAAAGAGGGACAACAGGGATCCACCCACACTCGTTAACTAGAGGTGCAGTCACTACTTAGTTTACATCAAATAGTAGTGTGACTGAACATGTGTCAGAACTTTTCATAAAGACAGTCAAAATAAAAAAGTTCAGTTGTATCTTTTAAATGTAATGGACCTGATGGACACGCAACAATATGACAAAATACAAAATGCTCAAGTTTAGTGCAGTATAGCCAATGCTGGGAAGTAACTGAACACATGTACCAAAAATATATATTCTGAATACTAATTTTGAGTCACCACATTCTGGTACAGTTACTTTTTTATTTGGTGGAATTCAGAATACAGTTACTTTCCTAAATTAAAAGAAATGCTTGACAGAAAAGAAAAAAGTGTGCCTGTGTGAGTTTTTGTTTCTAATTAGATATAAGTTAATGCATAATAGACGGTGCATTAAAAAAAAAAGCTGATTGTGATGTTATGTCATGTTTTACATTATAATATACTGTAACTTGATGTAAAAGTATTCCAAGTATTCAGGATACAGTACTCTATTTGGCCCATGTCACAGAATTAGATAATACATTTTAATGCAGGTATTCTGTAACTGAATACATTTTCAAAGTACTGTTCCCATCACTGATAATAACTTCATTACTTGTTAAACTAATCACACAAATTGTAATAAAAATATACAGTAGGGTTTTTGTGGTTTTGTCAACACACACGAGAGCCACTCCTGGGTACTTACTGGGTGGCTTGTTGGCAGCCAGGTTTTTGAAATGGATGCCTTTGATGACCTCCACTGACAGGCGTCCCGTTGTGGCGTTGTACACCAGGCCCACGAGGATCTCCGGTGTTGAGGTTTGGCTGACGGACTGGAATGATGAGGCGCTTTCACTGCATGTCATGTCTGAAAGGCTGACTTGTGATTCCCCGCCCTGAAAAATGTTTTAGTAGCCATTTAGAAAAATCGGCAATGTTTGGAGCCCAGGGAGGACTGAGTGTACTTTGAAAAAAAAAAAAAACTTCTGCCAGAATCATATCAGAAATTCATATCAAAAAGTGAAATGAAAGATTTATTACTAATGTGTATTACTGCTCAAGCTGTTGCCTTGACGAATCTATATCAAAAACAGTCAGTATTTAAGTAGATACAGAAGTAGCCCGTGGCAAGATATTCACAGCTAATATGCTAATCCAAGAAATGGACAGATACAGGCTTTAATCTTAAACAAAGCTCTCCACTAATGCTGAAATTTTGCAAGGTTAACACATACTGCATTATAGATCTCCATTTCAACCTACTATGGAGACTGGAAAACCAAATATGAGTTGTTGGTTTAAAGTGGGGCTGAATACTTCAACAGTATGAGAAAAGTGCGATAGGTCCGACAGGCGTAAACACTACAAACCCCGCCCCTACTGCCAAGCGTCTCTAATGAGCTCTAATCAAACCCAGTGGTTAATGGCACACACGGTTTTAGACCATACATCTGCAAATGAACGTAGTTTGTGAGAAATAGTAGACAATGCAGCTAAAACAAATCACATTTCAGCACGTGGTTTTATGTCTAACCTACATCACAATTCAAGCAATAGGTTACACTTTATAATCACTATACCTATTTAGTAAAGATGTAACAATATCCAAATCTCTCAGTACAATATTATCACAATATGCATCTCACAGTACGATATTTATTGCGATACTTTGGAGAGGCTGATATAATTGTAGATAGGATGCTTTTTTGCTTTTAAAATACCCTGACAAAATTTTGCTGTGAATTATTACTGTCATAATCCCAAGAATTCAAGTAAAATACACCTTTTTACATGTCAGACTTCATGTTGTTTGCGCTGAAATTAATCATGGGATCATGGGATATGTAGTTACTGATATTTATTAGGTATTGCGACAAAAAAATAAATTAAAAAATGCATTTAAGTAGGGATGTAACAATAACTGAAATATCGTGATATCGTATCATCAAAGTTCTTACAATAATGTCGTGGGCCATCACAATATATCGAATTACAAATCTTTTTGCTTAAATGAAGAGTTATGGTGCAGTAATAGCTAAAAAAAAGACAGAGGGAACTACATACACCGTGATCCTTTGCTCCATTTCAGTGCAGACTACATGAAGAATAACAGTTCTAAGCACTTTTAAGTCTTAGTTCTTTGGATTAAGTCTTGTCAAGGCATTTTAAGAGGAAAAAGTAGCACAGTTAACAGTATTCACAGTTTTAGCTTTTCAGCCTCCACAAACTATCTCAATAAACATCGTACTGTGAGATGTTTATCGTGAAAATATCGTACTGAGAGATTTGGATATTGTGACATCCCTAATCATGAGCCTACCCACCATATTGTGAGCTTTCCCACAATATTGTAATAAATATTGTGCCGTAAGGTTCATACTGAAACGATATCGTACCGTGAGACTTGGATATCGTTATACTCCTACATTTAAGCAAAGGAACTTGTAATTCGATATATTGTGGCAGTCCACGATCTTATTGTGAAACTTTTGATGATACGATATCATGATATTGGTTATTGAAATCTGCATAACTTCATAATGGACAACTAAATTATTAATAATAATTCAAGTTTAAGCTTAACTACTAGATATTACCCTAAGCCTAACTCTGAGATGTGCATTCATGTCTATTGTCCTTCCACGCCGTCGTGCCGTAGCCACACACTGGTCAAACCAAAAGTTATTACACTTACCAATAGTGTGCAGCAGGGGTCCAGTATGACGGGCACAGACATCTTTCCCTGTAGGCAGAGCTTGGTGAGGTAGAAGACTTTCTCTCCCAGCACCTTCTCCTTCTTCATGCGCCTCATGCTATAGAGCCTGAACCTGAGGGCGTAGTTTCCGATCATCTCCGCCTCCACGTGACTGAAATAGAACGTCTCGGTGAAGATGGGACAGGGCCCTCTTTGGACGCCTGTCTTGGCCCTCTGCTTCTTGGTGGGCAGGAGCACCAAATGCACCTGCCAGGAGAGGTTCCCTGTGCGTTTCACTGGGGGGAGGTCAGTGGCGGCCATGATGGTGACCCCCAGCTGCTGGTCCTCCGAGTCGTAGTCGAACACCACATCCAGCGTACCATACTTGGCCACGGGGTCCGGCTCATAGCCTTTAGGGAGCTGTGCAGCAGATCCACGAGCCGACAAGTCCTGTACACACACATGGAGCGCACTCATGGATTGAGTTTTTCTTGCATATGTGATTCAAATTCAAGATTTCTGTCACATTGAGAGTGAATGGGTACTGACATTTGAGAAAAGGCTGAAATAATAACTACTAATACAAGAAACACATGTATTTCATAAATACTTTTATGTCTAAAGTATATGACCTCACAATTCAAGCAATAGGTTATAATTTATAAAGACTACATTTATTTAAGTCTTAGTAAAGCTAGAAGAAAGAAATCTGCATAACTTCATAATGAACAACTAGTTTTTTAAGAATAATTCAGGTTTAAACTTAACTACTCATTAATACTCTAACTCCTCCTAACCTTTACCCTTTACTTCCTTGTTTTAATAAACTATTGATAAACTATTTGTGCATTATGAATTTAATCTTTAAATTAAAGCTTTATTAGCACTAAGGTGTAGTTATTATGAAGTGTAACCAAGGGATATAATGTTGTTTGAAGAGGTCATTATATTAGTTAGCCTATCCATCTTTGCGATATACTAACTACAACAACCACAATAAGGCCAGTGTGATTCAGCTGTGATTAACAGTGCAGTAGATTAGCACTACCTCTGGGCTGAGCACGGCCGTACTGTCACTGGGCACGTCCTCCTCGTAGCCCTTGTTCAGGTAACTCTCCGTCTCGGGCCCATCACTGCCCTCGCTTGGACACTTGCTGTAGGACATGTGTGGGCTGCCGCTGGTCTGGGACAGGTCACACTTGGCGTCCCCCAGGTCAGACAGAGTGCAGGACATGCGCGGTGATCCATTCTCATCCTGATAGGGCGGAGGCTGCAGCTCGTCCAGAGGAGGGGTCCGGCTCATGCGCTGGATACAGTTAGCTGAAGGGAAAACCAGGTCAACAAAAGAGCAAAAATGTAATTTAAGGTTGTTGTCAGTGTTGTTGAATAGTGAAAGTATTATACAGTCCAGTAGGGAAATCCTTCAACTAGTGCCTTTGGACATCACGTTTAGGAGTAGTTAGTGTCTATGGGCAGGGATAGATCTTTGGCAGGGATACACAGCTGGAGGAGGATCTGTTTTGGGGGAGTTAATGGTGTTAAACAGAGTGCCGGGAAGACACCAATCCAGACACAGAGAAAATGCAGACTCCACAAAGTAAGGCCCAACAACATTACTTCAATGCTGGTCTATTGTCCTAAAGCAATCTGATTTGATAGCCACAGCTTTATTATCCTTCCGTGCCAAAATCACATTTGCGACACTACATTTCCCAAAATCAGTGTTATTGAGTAAAAGAAATGCACAAAGAGCTTGTGGTACAAACTAACAGTTCCTTTGTTTTGTGGAAAGCGAGTGTGCTGTGCCTTGAACTAAACACATTAGAGTCAGTAATAGGCCTGTGCAGCTGAGCTACACCTCCGCAGCTGTTACGCTATAGCAAAGGGAATAGAGAACGCTTTAAGTCTGAATATCATTTATCATGCAGATCTACAAATATCATAACCACAGATTCAATTAAAAGTGCTGGAAAAAGTACCAGTATAAATATGCATGAGCTTTCTTTAATTGCATATTTTAATTACAAGTAATGTCTTAAAACAGGATTGATTTAATGGAGAAAAAGCTCACTTCTCCTTGACTAACTGGAGTATATGGAGCACACAGAATTAACATAAAATTACACCTTAGAAATGTAATGACAGCAGAGCTCTCTGAGTGATTCTAATGCAGTTAGTAATTAATGTAATACTTCCCACTCTTCTTATGTAATACAAGTCAATATTTTTATAGCAAGAATAATGTAGTTTTGTACAAAGTCTGACCGCCGTAATTTACGTTAAACACTACAGTAAAGGTGCACTAACTTTTCTGCTTGGAGTTGTGCAACAGGCTTCTAATTGTGTTTCAGCACTGCTCCAAACTATCATATTAAACTTATCTATCTGCATTTCTTCATTTATTGTTAAAAGCATCCATTGAAAAACATGCATTCTTACTATGATCAGGATCGCCTGTCCATAGATCTGATCTGTAACTAAGCCATACTATGGAGCATTCCAGGCAAACAAATGACATATCTATGGAGACAAGCAGGTGATGGACACTCCACCAGAAAAGTTACATAGTGCACTTTTAAAGTTTATACATAAAGTTTAGGAGAACAGATTAAAATTAATAAGGTAGTGAGGGTTTGGTGAAAATACTATATGGTTTACAGCATTGTTTCCCAAAAACTGGGTTGCAACCCTCAGGTGAGGGTTCTTTCAAGAGATTTTTTTTTTTTGGGTTGCCTGATATTCGTGTTGCGCTCTCCTGCACCCGGACTGGAACATGCTACAAAAACACAGGCAGGCCCACTGATGTCATTAGAAATGTTAAGACATGTATAATTTCTCATCTTTTGTTAATTATTTTATTGACTATTTTGTTCAAATATTACTGTTTTTGTTGAATGTTGAAAATAAAAACAAATGGGCACATTTAATGTCCAAATAGGCGACTTATGGATCCTTTTATTGCTGCTTCAATGACTGTTTTTATTGTTTAAAACCTGAGTAATACTAATTGTTCAGAGAGACACGATCACTCAGTCAATAATAAAATATCCTCATTAATGTTCAATAAACCAAATCCACCTTCATTTTGTGATTTTCGAATAGTCTATTGACTTGGGTCGCAAAGGTTTGTGACTTTTAAAATATGGGTCCCAGAAAAAAAGTTTGGGAAACACTGGTTTACAGTTAATGTGTGACAAAAACAGTTATTTCATATATATATATATATATATATATATATATATATATATATATATATATATATACAAAAAAAAAAACCTTACAGTAGTATAATGAAACAAAACATTTACTCAAGTAAGAGTTGTGTTACTTATACAAATTAAAATTGCTCAGTACATCTCCTTCAAAAAAATTTATCAGTTAGACTTTTCCATATAGTTGACCTTCAGCTCCATCTCCACAGAGGAAACATGCTTTGGCAATGTGAATAGAAAGCACCACCTAAATAAAACATCAGATATGCACCGTCTAATCTCTGAACTGCATACATCTTAATCTGCCAATGATTTCATGGCTTTCACATCTCCAAATCATTCAGATGCCTCGAAGATGTAGAAAAATACTATACCACATGTCGGTGTGGCATTTACAAAAAATCATGAATTGAGCTGTCAGCCAGTTTTTCAAATCTACCTCCCCGGTCCAATTTAGATCTACTAAATTTGAGCAGCTGAGCCTTATACTCCCATCGGGACACTGTCGAGAAGTGCTTTATACCTGCATCGCTTGCAAAAACAAAATGACGAAGAGAAACAACACAAAATCTCCTCAAAGTTTTTGGAAAGCCAACAGTGACGTAATCCATATTGTTCTTGAAACTTTGGCTCTTAATAACGTGGGTGAGGTGGCAGCTCAAAGTGGCATGCGTCAGAATGGAGGCACAGGAGTCTTAACTAAGTGTCATAGAGGGCTGGATAAAAGGAGCAGTTGCATTGAGAGCAGTTTTTCACGCTGAGCTGGGGGCGGATGACTTGATGGGAGCCGCTGTGTAAAAGCGCGACTCGTTGCTACAGCCCGCTAATTGGAATAGTTACCTTTTTCGTAACCTTGACGCTGCCAGTTGCCGTGTTCTGACTTCTTGTACCTCTGTGTGTGGGAGCTATGGCGGTGAAGTTGGGATGTATATGTTTGGGGTAAGAGATGAAACAAGAGGTGAAAAGAAAGGGGTCTTCAAGTTCATTCATTCAAGTGGAGGAAAAGACGACCCATGCAAATGTACACTGATTGTTGCATATTGATACAGGTGAGTGTATTTGTGCTGTTAAACAAGTCATTCTAGCACTAGTCAACATTTTTTTCAGTAGAAGAAAAGAATGTGACAGTAGCTCAAATGGATTTAAAGTGTCAGTCTAGAATGTTGGACATAGAACCTCATTTCCTAGTGAGCCAGAGTTTTGGAGACATGTGGAGACACTTTTTAAAATATTCCATCCAGTCCTTGTATTTGCAGAGATCGTTGGTGCTAGGCTAGTGCATGTCAATGGCCATAGTTATCCTGCCACTAAAAACTGTCTTACCCACTCCACAAAACACCTGAAGTAAATCTATTATTATGCCACACTGTCGATGTAAATGACTGTGTTGATAGAATAATTGAAATAAAACTAACCTTGCATCACATGAATCATCGCATGTTGAGGGACTATTTTCTCATATATCAGTCCGCTGCTGCCGGACCTTCTATCAGGAACTCACTGCTGCTGCTCAGATATAAATCCATCAAATGCAAGGTTGGTTTTACTTCTAAAAATGATTCTATTGACACAGACATTCACATGGACAGTCTGGTGTAATAATAGATTTACTTCGGGTGTTTTGTGGAATGGGTAAGACAGTTTTTAGAGGCAGGTTAACTATGGCCATTGACATGCACTAGACTAGCACCAGGGACCTCTGCAAATACAAGGACTGGATGGAATATTTAAAAAAGTGTCTCCACACGTCTCCAACACTCTGGCTCACTAGGAAATGAGATCATATGTCCAAAATCCCAGACTGTCCCTTTAAAGGATGTAACGACAATACTTCGGTTCTGTCATAATCCAAAGAATTCAGATTTAAAAGTGTGGTATAACAGTTATTTCTTCATGCAGTCTGCACTGAAACAGAGCAAGAATTGAGGTCTATGTAGTTCCTTCTGTTTTTTTAGCTCCAGCTGGACCATTATTAATTTAAGCAAAGAGATTTGTAATTCAGTATATAGTGACGGCTCTCACTATTATTCTGAAGCTTTTGTCGATACGATGTAATTCTGGTTATTGTTATGTCCCAAGTAGTCATAAACATCATTGTTTAAGCCGTCACATCCACTGACCCACATGTTGGTGTTGTGATTTCAGCTCCCACAGATGAATCCTGTTGTTGTGTTGTTGTTGTGTCCTGGGGCGAGACACTTACCCCATAGTGTCTGTGTACACTGGTGTATGAATGTGTGTTTGAATGGGTGAGTGGTTCCTTGATGTAAAGTGCTTTGAGTGCTTTGAAGGTGGAAAAGCGTGATAGAAAAATGTGACCGAAGGCACTGAACTTTGTGCCTGTTTTTGTTTCATGGGGCTAAGCCCAGTAATTACAAAGATAATAACCATAAACTAGGACAGGATGATTGAAAAGGAAAACCATGAAAAAGTAAACTAGGACCTACTATGTAAAGTGCTTTATGTTTGTCAGTAGCCCCAGGATGTGCAGCCATATTATGTAGATTAGATGGAAGTTATGCATTTTAGAAGTAGACAATGGAGGACATATGAGGCCTGTTTCTAGTGTCTGGAGCAAAAATGCATCTGATTTTCTGTCTAATCTTCTCCACAATGAAACCATTACAGCAAATCCTTGTGAAATGTGTCCAATTAACCGCTGCCTCCTTCTCATTTTTTCTCCCATGGTGTAATCCAGGGCTAATTTATGATGCAGCTCACCTCCTCTGTGCCATAAGTGTTCGGAGTGGTGACCTAAAACAGCACAGTCCTCATTAGGCCCACTGTTCGGACTAGGCCTATGTCTTCTTCTTCTTCTTCTGCTACTGCTGCTATTTTTGGAGGCACCAGGGCACACAACCTCCGTGATTGTGCAGCCTCGGCACAATCCTCCTCATGTATAATAAATGCGTGTCCTGAGGATAAAGCACTCTCCTCACAAACAGGCCGCGCTTTGGAGAAGAATAACAGTTTTACAACTTTTACATGAGCGAAAACGAATCAAATAAACTCGTATTATGATAAATACTACCTGAAGACATTCGCACTGATTTGAACTTCCTTCACTCATAGTTTTAGTGGTAAACTGCATTGAAATTGAACTGAACATTTGAGAATATTGATAGATCATACTTCTTATTATAAAAAAGGTTCATTAAGAAGTGTGTGTTTGTAAAATGCACACAATTTGGAGGAACTGGGAATCTGTAATTCTGGCCTGTATTACGTTATTTACGTTATTTTCTGAGCCACCGTGTTTTCAAACTCCATACACTTTCTCTAGAATCATTTGGATTCAACCCTGGAATTGCGAATCTCTACTGAATAAAAGGTAAAAGGGAGCTGTTAACTTGAAAACTACACCTACATAACATTATGAGCTGAGTCTTATGAGCTCTGGAAATCTACAAAACCTAATAATAAAGGAAAGACACAACTCCAGGTATGTTTTTGATGAGAAAGTTAGAGCTAATTTTGTGTATATAGGACAACATAGGACCTTGAATTAAGAAGGATTTTAAGATGTTATTAAACCTATGTTATTGTTTTCACATTGCAATACAAAAATCCTAAAACATAAATAAAAACTGAAAAAATTATGTAATATATATTTTATCATTTAACACATTGGAAATTCACAACATTATAAATTCACTGACAGAGACAGAGTCCATCTAGTGGTTGCTAAAAGTTATAGCAGGCCTTGCATAACAACAACCTTGTACAGTTGTTCTTTACTAATGAAAGCAGAAGTCTCATACATTATTGAGTCGTTAGCAGTGCAGGAAAAGACGGCTTTAAATAGTCAGAGGCAGAAATTCGTTTTAGGGAGGATAATATTAAGGTTGTTTGTGTGTCATTTTTATTGTTTCTGTAGCTGCCCTGAGGTAAGAGCTGTAAATGTAATGTAACTAACATTGCTGTAAACATAAAGCACATGATGTAATGGATTCTGTGGGTAAATAAAAATATTACTTTATATCAAGAAGAATTAGTGGTTGACTCAACACAAGAACAAGTTTTCTCAAATCAAATATAAGCTCTCAGTGTCTTCAAAGGAGCCTGTCTTTGCCAATGTGCCTGGAAAGCTTTTTAAGGCATTTAAAAATGTCAAGATTATCCACCAATAACTGAACCTGAACTGAAAAATTACATATTTAAGTCCAGCATTAACATTACACTGTCAAACCTACACCACATCCATCCCGTCAAACACAGAAAATAGGCCATGACTTGTGCCCCCCCCCTGACTTTCCTTCCATCCGTTCATAAAAAGGTCTGTGACGGTGAGGCTGGCAGATGGACAGATGGAGGGATGAGTGGTTTGAAACAAAGAAAGGAAATAAAGGGGAGGTTTCACAGACAGTTTGACTGTTTCTTAACCCTCCCACGGAGAGTGTGCTGAACGGGAGCAGCTTTGATCACCTCACAGATTAACTGACAGTGTGGGGATATCGCTGTGGTCTTTTTTATAATTATTTACTTATTTATATATTTATGGGTTTCAGCTTACTGTTACATGCAATGTTTTGAGGACTTTTTACCATTCAATAGATACAATATTTAGTTTTGAATTGTTAATCGCTATGGCAACAGCCCTAATTTCTCATCGTTCTGAAACCAATGGACAGTGAAGTATGAGTGTGATTTGGACTCACCGTCGTCAGCAGAGGCATCGCTGCTGTATCCGTCGTACTCAGCAGTGAGCAGGCTGTATTTGTGGCGTGTGTCCCAGCTGAAGCCCCCCAGTGGTTTGGAGGAGGAGCGCGCCCCTCCTCTGAGCCCCTGAGAGCGGCACACGGCCTCCTGGTACTGCCCCATCAGCTCATCCTCAGAGTCTGAAGAGGAGCCGTGCAGGTGCGCATCAGTGTAGGGCTTTTCTATTTGGGAGAAGAAGAGAGAGCAAATGTAAGCACTACAGTGATTGTGTCAACTCTTTTTATATATTGTTTGGGACAGTGATTGAAGATGCATAATAGAAAGTGGTAGTTTATTTTCTCATTACAAGTTGCAAACAGCATCAACCTATAATACTTTACTGCTCCTCTTGATTATTGTGTGTCGCACAGTCTGCCCAATCTGTACTTAAACACAAGGATCATTTTTACAGCTTTAAAATAAATATTTGCCTTGTGAAAATGTTGTTATGGCAACAGTGATCTGTAGCCTTTAACGTTGATGTAATGTCATGTTTCCACCTACAAGTGGCAGCAGAGCTCCAAGTTTTCTTGATGTGCAACAGAAAGTGCATGGCCCGTAAAAAAAAAAAAAAAAAAAAAAAAAAAAAAAAAGACAATGATTACACAGAATATTCCTTATTAGATAAAATAAGTAATTTAAGACAGTCTATGTATTCACAAAAATATCAAATTAAACATTTTGCATCTTTGCCTCACCTCTGCCTCTCTGTTCCTGTGTTTACTTGTGGGCTTTGTTGGGCAGGTCCCTGTGGGGACTCCCTAGGGCCACCATCCTTTAAACCAGAGTAGCTCAGAGCCCTGTCTATGTAAACAGCACTACACCTGTCAGCCACAGTTAGCCTCATGTGAACTGAGAAAGGCCAGAGCCAGGGGAGAGGCATCATGTAGAGGTACACCTAGAACAAGAACAGGTACACTTTGGACCAAAGAGGGGGCCATCTATGATACCACCAAATCTGTACCCCCATGACAATAGTCAGACTATATTTGGCATTTCAAGCAGAAATGTGGTAAAAGATGCATGTAAATGTCTTGACTGAGGACTGAAATGTCATACAGACAAGGTGAATTGCCTGTAAAAACTATATAAAAGCAGAAGTGTGTTTTAGGCAGTTTTTTAATCACCTTTATAGTAGCTTTAATAGTATTTTTTTAAATAGTTTTATACTATATATTTACTACTTCATTAATCTTCAATAATACATATTGTGATTATAATAGAATTAAAAATATATAAGCAACTGGCAATGACACATTTTTACAGTGACTGAATATAGTTATGTTGAATATAGTTATGTTGAATATAGTTATGTTGAATATAGTTATGTTGATGTCATTTGGAGTGGTGGTAATTGTGCTCACCTTGTAGCTCTGTGTTTTTCCTGAAGTCGTCAAGGCACGTCAGGCTGCCTGGGTTCTCGAGGGCTAGTTTGTTGTTGAGGTACCAGAACAAGAAGGTCATAAGAATGATGAAGAGTCCGATGGCTGTCAGAAACCCCAGCACCTCTGGAGACACTGAAACACACAAGAAGAGACATGGATTCTTTAATGCTGGAATTTAATTGGTTGGCTCATAAACTGAGACGAAGAAACTAAAATAAAAGGACAGTTATAGAGACTACGATTGTGTAGAGAGGAATTTCTGAATGTTAGGTTAGAAAAATGTACAAGTGTATGAAGCTAGTTGGTCTGACAGAAAAGGATAGTGTTAGTGGAACCAGATGATCCTCAGTTGTGAACTCACGTAGGGAAATGTCTGTATGAAAATTAGCATAGGCCAACAGAATGGGCTCCTACAAATTAAAATAAATTAGCAAATAATTTAAAACCACTTTAAATATAACAAAGAAAAAAGCCTAAATCGGTAAAGCACATGCCCAAAAAAACATAACACCAGGAAAAGAAGGAGCACAACAAGTCTACATTAGGGCATTAGAAAAACGAGGTTATGTGAGCGGTGCCACTACTGTTACCATAGCAACAGGTTCAGGAGCAGCATCAATCTGAGCCCCAGACACAGCGTCGAGGCGGCACCATAAAACGCAATTCTGATCTGATGAGGTTCAAAGGAAATAATCCTTCACAAATCCAATTTGTATCTAGAATAACTGCATGAAAAAATGACAAAGGAGTTGAAGACTCAAGGAGCTCATGATGACCTTGACCTTTTAGATGACCTTCACAAACAGAAAATGCAGAGCCTGCTGGTCTAGAGCTGTGGTCTGTTTTTGTGTAAAATGGGCTCTCTGTGTCTGAAACAACATGGCACCATTTAGGATATTTCTGTTTATTTCCCATTATGGCTTTCATCCTGTTCTTGTTTGGCCAAACCCTGCCCAGATCCACCCACCATTAGATGAAACGCCTCTGTCCAGCTGTTGATCAGCTGGGGAGAAAAGGCCCAACGTGGCTCCAATGTTTGTCTTTAAATAGTAATATCTTGTTTTGAATTAGCCTTAGTGTATTCTATTAGTTATTTTCACTTACCTTTTTTTGTAAATTTGAAAAAAAAAGGTATGTGAGATGTATTTACACTTTTCTATTTTTAAGAAACCTCTCCAGGCTGTGCCTTTTTCTACACCCATTAAACATCTCATCAGTTATTGTGCCGTTAGCCTAGACCTCATGGATCTCAGTTTATATTAGAAGACTTTTAGGCTTAAATATTTGCTAGTTACTCATAACTCACTGAATGCTTTGACAATGAAATTTCCTGATTTTAATGTAATATAAAAAATATTCTGAAATGCAACATAACCCTGACATAACCCTGTTTGTTTTCCATGCGTTTCCAGCGAGATTGAGATATTCGTTAATTAAAGTGTTTTTGTTGCAATTTTGGCACAGAATCTTTTGATTCCACTTGCTCTTGAGAACGAGAACGAGCATTTGCAGTTACAGCATGGACACTGACTGAGTATATAAAATAATGAGCTAATTTGTTTGGAAACTGTTTAGGATTGTGGCTAATTTATGACCTAATTGATGAATGTGTTTTCTTTTATTAGAATTGGACGATGTTGCTGTCTCTGATTAAGTGGATTCAGCTGCTAATTAATCGTAGTACCTGGGCCCGAGAGGCTTTAACTCAAGATGCATTAGACTGTCTGTGCAGTTACATAACACTCCACTGGTCTATCGCCATGAAAACTCAAATAGTCAGAAGTTTCTAAAAGTACTGCAGTTTCGTAAGTACACTGTTGCGTGTGCTTAACAAAAGTCTTATGTAACCCCGGAGATTATACAAGTATTAAAAATGTGTGATTGACGTGCGCGGTGCCATGAAGAATACATGGTTGAAATGCCCGCAGAGGTTTTCCTGGTTGGGCTGAGAGGTGAGAGAGGAGCAACTCTCCTATGGGGATTTCTGTCTGCTCACTCTGTAGCGTGCTCTCATGGTGGTGGATGAATTATTCACAGCACAGATGGGTCGGGATCCAGGGCTGCTGACTTCCCTAAAGTGAATATTAAGTAAGAGAAATAACCGTCTGTAGAATGGTCAAGAAATAATTACATATATGAAAATAAATCTGAAAATCTGAATTTGATCAATCAATATAGCTTCAAAGTTAAGTGTATTGGATTTTTTACTATATTTAGAATGGTAAAGCACTCCTACAATGAAGATAAGGTTGATGATTCAAATCTTCTTCATACTGTTGTTGTGTCCTTTGGCAAAACACAATAATTAGAGGATATGCTGGAAGGTGAAAAATTATCCTAAAAATAGCTATGGTAATTGTTATTCTAAGTGTAACCACATCTAGTAGAATAGAAAAGCTTTTATGTTTTGAGGATTGTCTGATTTTAAATATATTTATTTCCATAGCACAATGAATCTTCTTATGGCTGTATGATAAGAAAGCACAGAGACTACATCTCCCAGCATGCCTGTGCACAACTGAAAAAACACAGGGACCAAAGGGCGTTGCTGGGGAAAGGACTCCAGCTTGTACCTATTTGCTGACCCTGTTGCCTTGGAGACCATTTTTTAACATGGACCTAGTATGTGAATATTTCCATAACCGGACCGACCTGTGTGAGACTGTAGAGCTCTTGACACTGTAGGACGTGTAGTTACTCATAGTTGTGGCTGTTTTTTTTTGTTTTTTTGTTTTTTAGAGAAATAGTTGCCATGTTGAATAAAAGCATTTTCAAAAATCAAAAAGACGCCCACTCGGAGCAGAGACGGGCCGGGAGCACTCCACGCCATAGCCACACACGCCCACACGTGTTCGGACTGCAGCCTCAAGTACTATACACCTGCTCGGCACTAAAGAGGCAGCAGCAGCACCGGAAATACACACATAGGCACAGGTCAATTTACATAATAGCATTTTGATTATACATTCAGTTTTTATCTCATGTACAAAATAATGAGATTTTAGACTGACAAGTTTTATATTTGGCTGGTGAAGTGATACTTCTATATTATTTAAGCCTTCTTCACAAAACTGAATTAACTATCTTACAATGGCAAAATGGTGTTCAGCTTAGAATAACCGGTGGGTTCTTTGCAAAAAACAAAAAACAACTTTCACCACTCCTCAAACTTTGTGCAGTTTCCTTTAAGATGAACCTTTTTACTGTGAACTTCTTAAAATTTTCCTCTCAAAATGTATCTTTTAGCAATAATAGTTATAGCTTAATGACTATTGTCAGATTTTTATGGGACAGGTCATTCATTCATGTCCTTTTTCCTGTTTACTTTTTAAAATTCAAGTCTTTGTATTGTAATATAATAATGTAATATAGGGATGTAACAATAACCGAAATATTGTGATACTGTGTCAAAGTTCTCACAATAATATCGTGGACCATCACAATATATTGAATTACAAGTCTCTTTGCTTAAATGGAGAGTTATGCTGCAGCAAAAGCTAAAAAAAGACAGAGGGAACTACATAGACCATGATCCTTTGCTCCATTTGAGTGTAGACTACAAGAAGAAATAACAGTTCTAAGCACTTTTAAGTCTTAGTTCTTTGGATTAAGTCTTGTCAAGGCACTTTAAGAGGAAAAAGTGGCATATTAACAGTTTTAGCAGTTTAGCCTTTACAAAATATAGCAATAAATATCGTACCGTGAGATGTATATTGTGAAAATATCGTACCGAGAGATTTGGATATTGTTACATCCCTAATCGTGAGCCTCCCCACCATATCGTGAACTTTTCCACAATATCGCAATAAATGTAGAATCGTGAGGTTCATACCGTGACGATATCGTATTGTGAGACTTGGAAATCTTTACACCCCTAGTATAATATGATATAATAGGACAAGAATTTCCCCTTTGAGGGATCAATAAAGTATCATCTATCTATCTATCTATCTATCATTATTTTATCATTATTTAGTCTACTCAGCATGCAATACATTTTGGGAAAGTTTTGCATATAACATTGCACACATTATAACAAAAATAAGGAACATCATTTTAATAATTTATTCCAAAAATATAAAATTTTGTTTGTTAAATTCTCAAACTTTTCACCTTAAAGACTTGGGCCTACTTTGTGTCCGCTTTATTTTAGTAGATTCTCAAACACGACAAAAACACAACAAGATGAAACACTGAAAACCCAGTTAACAACACAGGACCCCACAGTAAAAGACACACACAGATGAACATAGAAATGAGGTCTGTGATGTGGCCTACCTTTTCGGACGCAGATCAGCTCATGAACGCCACAGTTGCGATCGCCACCTGCAAAGACAATGCATTCTGAATGAGCCGCTGTGATGGAGCGAACACACAGCATGATCCAGGGCTCATATGCAGACATGTTTAGACCAGTCCCACAGAACAACAGGTAAATGTCAACACACAGAATACAAAGGACAAGACAGGGATGCAGCAGAGACAGTGGGAGACAGAACAACACACAGAAACATGAAAATGGGTCAGACAAGACTAGAGTTTTCAAAGATTAGTCTATTAAAAAACGTTATGATACAGTTGATATCCACCTTATAAAAAATGCTTATAGTTTTCTATGTAAAAGCACTACTCTCTAAAAATACCTGGTGTATCTCATCAGCAAATTAGGTTGATTAAAGTCCTATAAACTACAAGAGTTATTTTTTGTGTTTTTAGTGCCGTCTAATGGCACTGATTCTCCCTTTACGTTCCCAAATATTCAGAAAGTATTGAAAAAGAGTGTGTTCCAGGCCAAGCAAAATACGACATGTTGTGTAGTACTCTGACACAAAACCAGCACAACACAGGGAACTCTGTACAAAAGGTAATGAAAGTACTGGACATCAGTTCCTATAGCTTTCCTATAACTCCTATATAGTGCTTTTCCACCTTCAAGGCACTTAGAGTACAGCGCTGTACATCAAGAAACCACTCACCCATTCACACTCACATTCATACAACAGTGGGTGCACACACTATGGAGCTGGAATTGCACTGCCAACCCGTATGTGAGTGAATCTGACCACTCAATCAATAATGTTTATATCAAGAGTGGATCTGAACCGCCAACCTTCAGATGAGTGGACAAACATTTTATCAGCTGAGCTACTGTCGCCTATATATAGCAAAAAGAAGAGCGACAACAACAAATCACAAAGCCAGTTCAGACCAGAGTCTAGTGACGTCTTACCCAACTGATCATGTAAATGTCACTTAACAACCAACACTTGATATGTCCATGCGTTTTCCACTGCACTGTCCTCTATCCTCTTCTCCGTTCTCTCCTCTAGACAGTGGTGGTAATTCTGCTCTCTTACTCACTCTTGTCTGGGAGCTGGGGCCGCCGGGAGCAGCTACAGGTGCAGGTACAAATAGCTGAGGCTGTGACCCTCCTGGAGTCATGCAGTCCTCATAAGCCAGCCTCAGCACACTCAAATGCACAGCGCCACAACTATTATGGGCTCTGAGAGGGCTGACCTTTCTGTTATGAAGGGAGAATGTCATTGTTATTAACGTGTGGCATTAAACAGGCAGCTGCGGGCAAGTGCACGCCCCAGCAAAAAGTATAATTAGAAATGTGAGGGGCATTTATATACAGCAAGAATGAGGAATTGTGAGATAAGGGAAAAGAGCCAGGCAAAGTCATAAGTCTGTTTGGAATACAAGCAGTGTTATCACCAAGTGTATGTAATGGCACTACTACGTCACGCTACATGAATTAGTTAAAATCTCTCATGTCTGATATATAATGCATGTGGACTAAAATGCTTTGAAAATTGCTAAATAAAGCTTTAATTCAAGGATGCTACTGGGGTGTAACGACATCCAAGTCTCACGATACGATATCGTCACAGTATCAACCTCACCGTACGATATTTGTTGCGATATCGTGTGAAAGTTCACGATATGGTGGGGAGGCTCAAGATTAGGAATGTAACAATATCCAAATCTCTCGATATGATGTTTTCACGATATACATCTCACGGTACGATATTTATTGTGATATTTTGTGGAGACAAACAAAACTGTTAATATGCTACTTTTTCCTCTTAAAATGCCTTGACAAGACTTAATCCAAAGAATCAAGATTTAAAAGTGCTTAGAACTGTTATTTGTTCTTGTAGTCTACACTCAAATGGAGCAAAGGATCATGGTCTGTGTAGTTCCCTCTGTCTTTTTTTCAGCTGTTGCTGCACCATAACTCTTAATTTAAGCAAAGAGACTTGTAATTTGATATGTTGTGATGGTCCACGATATTATTGTGAGAACGTTGACGATACAGTATCACGATATTTCAGTTATTGTTACATCCCTAGATGCTATTGAAAATGTTAGGCCACAATTTAGGCTTCCTCATTGTGCAAATCTTGATGTAAACAGAGGGGTTAACTTTAGGAGACTGAGTCCAAAAAATAACATTATAAAACATATTTAACTAAATGTTATTGGGACTGGCTGGCATTATGCCCTGTCTCTTTTTGGCAGTTGTAAAGAAAATATGATTGTGATCAGAAACAGGCAAGATTATATGAGATTATCAAAATGTCAATGACAAAGCAAATTATGTAAAAAGGGAGAATTAATGTAATTAAGACAAAATATGAAGATTCAGAGAGTACTTTGTCTTCTAAATGACACAGGATTAATAGTAGGAGTAGATTTGTGGGCATGTAAACACACCAGAAGTTAGTATTTTCTAGTCATATATATACTTGGTGAAGAGAACTACAAGAACTGACAAAGTACTACTTTCAACATCTGGTTTAAGAGGCGATGTTACAATATGGAAAAAGTATATTTCAGAGTGATAGCTAGTTTACGGCCTTGCGATTACAACTGAAGCTTACAGTGACATGAGTTACGTCTTGACGACCAGCAGACCCATATAGCAGCTGGGAGTGGGAGGACGACTCACTTTGCACACGCCACGTCAAAAATAACATTCTCTCTCACTCCCATCATAAGCACCAAGAGCGATCGGCCATATTGTGTCATTATCCAGAACTCTTCCAGTTATCAAATGCAAATGTTTTTAATGTACTGATGTCATTCACGATGATTCTTTTTAGTCATCTGTTACATAACTCTGTGCTGATGGTGATGACTTGCAACTGGAAAAATAAACAAGGAAACCAAAGATGCCAGCACAACCACAGCACACTTATTTTATGGCTTTAAGTTATTTCAACTAAAAACTGTCTCACAGTGAGATTAAAGGTTCTGTATTATCAATGGTGTAGTGGGGATTTTTTAAGAGGGGGTAAGAGATTTGTGACTGATCCAGGACTAAAATAGGACTACACCAGGTCTAAACCAGGTCTAAATCAGGACTAAAGCAGGACTACACCAGGACTAAACCAGGTCTAAACCAGGTCTAAACCAGGACTACACCAGGTCTAAATCATGTCTAAACCAGGACTGAAGCAGGACTGAACCAGGACTGAAACAGGACTGAACCAGGTCTAAATCAGGACTACACCAGGTCTAAAGCAGGACTAAACCAGGACTACACCAGGAGTACACCAAGTCTAAACCAGGTCTAAATCAGGACTAAACCAGGACTAATCTTGGACTTGAGAGAGACAGAGAGAACATCAAGCCTTTCAGGTCCATACCGACACTCAGTCCTGGTTTAGTTCTGTTAAGTCCTGGTTTAGACCTGGTTTAATCCAGTTTTAGTCATGGTTTAGTCCTGGTTTAGTCCTGGTCCCTCATGTCTCAGGTTACTGTAGGACAGTAGTGCAGATATTGTGAGCCTATGCAGTTTGTTTTCATCATTGCCAATAGCTCTGGTTTGACATTTAAGTTGTAGCTATTTTACATTTGTTATTTTTTATATGCTTGTGAGTTTTAAGCCATTTCAGAACATTGTTATCTCCTCAAAAACACATCAGCAATGTTTAGTTCCATCATATATGTTTGAGTAACCCTTTACTATTAGTCTGTCTACATCTCCATAGCTCGAAATGCTCTTTTCAACCTCGTGATGTCAAGTTAACAGCTACCCTTAATATTTGTTTAGTAGAGGTTGGAAATTCCAGAACTGAAATCATCCAAATTATTTTAGTCAATTTATATTGAGTAAAAACACAGTGGAGCACTTCCTGTATTACTGTATGACATCACAAGGTGGAACAGAAATATATAGGTGTCACATGTGAATGAAAACAAATACAACTCCAGGTATGTTTTTGACAAGGAAAAAACATCACAATGTAGATCAGAAAATAGTGTAATATAGGCCCTTTAAACAATGACACCACTTCATATTATTATTTCGTAATAGTTATTCCACTGTAGCATGTTTGAACTCAGAGAAAATGGCAAATTATATAATGTTTGCATCCTCCCCATGATAAATTATGGGATCTTCAGACTGCTGTGATGTCAGCTGTCATGCCATTTTTACTTGTTTTGGAATAAAGTCTGCGAAAAAGCAAAATACAAGAGACAAATTATTCCAAATTGGACAATCGTTTGCAAGTCTAACCAGTGCAGATAAAGTGTCCAGCTCAGCAGTAGCCAGTTGCCCTTCATGTGTTCGCTTCAAGTACCACGAATCAATTTGAAACAGCGTTAATCAATACAGTCTCCTCTTCACTCCTTAAGCAGGTCTGCAAACTAACCCAAGAATGCCCCAGCTCGCCCTCACGCAGCAGAACTCAGTGGATATTTGGAGTGTTTGTCCTAGTTTGTTGGTGAAAACTGCTGGTGCTATGCTATATTCAGGCTGCTCACACCCAGCCTTGGTTCTGGGTGAGGGCCGAGCTCAGATGAGGAAATCGACCTGACAGTGTTGGGTTGGAGGATGGAGGACAGAAGAAGAAAAGAACTGGAAACAAAGGAGCAGTTTGGTAGAGTTTGCTGGTATAACTAACTATTTTAGATTTCCCCGGGAAAAACTGCACTACTGTATCAAGACACAGCCAGTTTAGTCCTTGTTATCTGTCCCCAGAGGTTATAATAATCCCTACAATACATAGTAGACTGATCACTAGCACCACAATGTGTTGAGTATTCATGTGTGTTTGATTCTGTAAAGATGGTAAATAAACTTCAAACATCTAGACTAGGGGTGTCAAACTCCAATTCACATTGGGCCAAAATTAAAAACTGGGACTAAGTCATGGACCAAACTAAATATTTATTGAAAGATTTCAGCAACATCTGCATATTTTCTCTTCTTTCGAGATATATAATTTTAAACCTTTTCTTATTAAAATAAATGTTTAATAAGACTTTTGCTTAAAAATATAATCCAGAACATGCAAAATATAAAATAGTAACAAAATTTTAAATAAATAATGTCTCTATAGCCGGCGGGTCAGCTTTAATACATATTTGATATGATCTCGCGGGCCAAAT